CCCCCGGGCGGTCGGCACCAATTTTGACTAAAACCAGCCACAAAACAGCATTGCTGTGCAGCGAATTAAAAGCTCCCAGGACCCCTAGTCAGCACCAGCTTGGGGGATCTACTAGACAATCACATTTGTCTTTATTCTTCTTAAGCTCTTTGATCGACTAAGGACTGGACTTTGAAATAACTATTTAACCAGTAGTTTCCTGTATGTAGACGCTCTGCCTCTTGCACACATGAAGGAATTCACCTCTTCCTTGATGAAGAAGTTGAAACTATAACACCACTTTCTATCAAAGTAACATAACATCTAACATCACTATCTATCAAAGGCTAGGAGTAAGTTCCACGAAGGTGCAGCTCCCACGGCCACCTCAGCCAGGACAGCCGTGGTTCCTTCTCCCCACCAGCGCTCAGCCTCCAGCCGTGCAGCCCCTCATCCCCCCGTGCATGAGCTCGGCCGCTCTGTGGGCTCCGAAGCAAACGGGCTCAGCGTGCTTAGGCAGAAGCTAGGTAACTGCGTTAGAAAACACGGTAAGAGCTGTACACACTACCACGAGGGCTTGGATGCCAGCACAGGGCCGTGTTCCCTGCGGCTGGGGAGGAACACAACAGAAGCCTGTGGGTCTGCTCCGAGAACACAAGCCTCAGAGCTTCAGCTGTTCAGCCAGGCGAAGACGGTACAGCCTCTCTAGCTCAGAGGCTGAAAGCCCACCAACACGTTTTACATTGTATGTAAATCACAAAGATTTTTCTTACTTCCGTTTTCCTTCAACACATATTGCAGTGTTACCATCCATCACTTTAATTCTCCAGCTGGTTAGGCAGACATTTTTCTGCTAATAAAAAAAAAGAGGTCATATTTAAGTGAGACTAAGCTATACAACATCACCAAGGCAGCAGTAAAATAGGTATTAACTCCTGCATAACTTGAGAAGATATTTAGGCACCATCCTCCAGACCAGAAAACTGAAAACCACCACTATACACATAAATGTTGAAGCATAATCAAGCTGGAGTCTAATGCACAAGTGAAGACAAGAATTTAAATTATAGGAAGTTTCAGGTAGTTTAACGTTGACTTTCAGAAGACAAAGTCATTGGCCAAGACCTCTAGCAAATCCAAAAAGCTCCTCACAAAAAGTGCCAACGCTATGCCACAGCTCTTACACTTTGTCATCTGTCCTACGTTACTGTTCAGAACAAAAGTTATCCATGAAAAAATAAAATTGTGTTTATTAGCTACATTCTTGCTAACCTTTAGACAGTATTAAAATGGGTCTGGCTGATATTGCGAACTGCTGACACGCATACAGCTGCAGTACCTTCACTGCGCATTACACAGCCAGCAAGCCAGCGGCACTTGAACTGCAGTTTGGAAAACTGCGTGTGAACCACACGACTGCTTTAAAAAAGCTTCTCAGAAAACGGGTTTTTAACATCTGAATCTATCACTGTTTCTCCTCAAAACCTCAGTTAATAAACTCCAGATCTTTTCTTTAATGATGTTTGCCTTCTGACTGTCAGCCTTCACCTCACTAAAGATCTCACCAATAATTTAAAGCAGGCTGAGGAAATGTACCGAACACATACAGCCAGCTCCTACGCGACGCTCAGACCTGCAGCATCCAGTAACATCACTTTCAGCATCTTCACTCAGCTACAAATCTTTAATATTAATGGATATCTGTTCCTTACCTAAATCAAAGCTTACTGTGAAGGTAACTTTTTTTTCTAATACAGGAAAACATATCGAACATGCTTGACAACAGCGAGGGAGAACAAAACAATTAACTTGCCTCACTCGAAGAGGACTGCGATCCCAGATTTCTGCAGCAACCAAAGGAAATGAAGCCTTGGGAAGGTACGCTTCCCCCAGGCCCTCAGCTAATCACTGAGGAACGCGGCACGCTTCAAAATACACCGCTTTCCTCGAGTTTTATTCAGAAACTTGTAAATACTGCCAAGCATGTAGTGAATTGGAAATAAAATCTGCAGTCTAGTCTCCTAGGAAAAGATTCTTGTTCCGCTTAATTCAACAGAAGCTTGGATGTTGTGTAGGAAAGCCAAGACTTTCACCTCGCTACCAGCTGCACCGGTTCAGCTAACTCCAGAACCACCCCTAGCCCACAGCTGGGAACGCTCCCTCCTCCTTGGCTTCGCGCAGCCAGCCGGGAGCCGGACTGGCCAGTGACTTGTTTCAGGTCCGTCACACCTACACGTGGCAGTTAACGTATGAAAGAGATGATGCAGGAGGCTCCTTCAGGTAGAGAACTCTTTCAGCCCATACTCTGGCTTGTGAATACTAAACCAAAAGGCCGCCTTCTACACAAGAAGCATCCCTCCCGCCCCCCAAACAAAAAAACCCACCCAAACATTGTCATCTTGGAGCATGGGGGGAAAAAAACCAAACTCCTTTTGATGGGAAAGCATTTACCAGAACAATCTAGTATCACAATAGGTTAGTCTCTTCTGAGTGCTTATTACTTTTGACATTAAAAAAAAAAAAAGTAAATGGCAACTATGAGCTACAAGCAGCCCACTGGAATGTATCAGTTGCCCTGAAGCACAAAGTTCTCCCACCTCTTTGGCTGCTTTGCCAGCAACTTGATCCGTATGAGGTTCATCCAAAGGGACCTTGCAGCCTTCCTTCGGCTTTTGCTTCCTTGGAATGCGGACTTCGGGAGAGAACATAATACTACAGAAGCACTGTGAGGGCTTTTGAGGATTAGTCTCCAGCAGCTTCTCGACTCCAGGAGCAGCTTGCTTATTACGTGGCTGCAGCTCTCTTCGGTCTTGATGACGTTCGGCACGTTTTGCTTCTCCGTTTGCCCACCTTTCCTCTGACTGAGCCCCACTGTTAAAAGGGGCAGAGTTTAAATTCCCAGAACTAGTCACTGCATTCTGAGACATTTCATCATCAGCGTCCATTGATTCGATAAGGAAATTATCCTGATCATCCTTATCAGTGGCCACATCCTCTGGAGGATCACTCCTGCGCTGCTCAGTGAAAGCAGGTTTGACTAACGGCTTTTCCGTAGTTGTGGAAGGAAGAGTGTTCTGCTTGATGGGGTTTGAAGCTGTCGGATCTGCCCATTAGAAAAAAAATTTGAGAAATAATAAAAATACGTTCAGAAAGTTCGCTCCATTTTCAGTAAGAGGAGGTCGGTTGGGTTAGCATTACCACAGCTGCAGAAGCACTGCCTATTTCGATTGTCAGCGTGAACAGCAAGCCACTCTATCAATCTGCTCGGACTAGCTTTTCCTCACCACCAGATCAACACCCCTGCTGTTAAAGCCTGATAGATATCCCACTCTCCCCCCAAACCAAGCTAATGCACACCGTATCTATTAATAGTACATCTTCAACATTCTTCCTATCTTTTCTTTAATCAATCCTCCTTGCAGAGCAGAAAAACCCTGTTTTCATAAAAACCAACATCTCAAATATTTCCACCTTTCCAGGCTTCAAGATCTGGACTTCCAGCCATGCTGCTGCTGCGCTGGGAGCTACAAACACTGGGGTTTGAGTTGTCAGGTAAATTAAGTTCAGCTTTGAAGTTGAACACTACTAAGACTTTGGCGTGCATCATTTTCTTCGTCTGCATTTTCAAAGCTGAACTACGGGACAGAAGTACAGAGCCTGGATAGAACAGGGTTCCTATCAAGCAGCACTATGGAAAACACAAGTGCAAGATAATTTCCCACAAACCAAACCCTTTCTCTTTATGTATTAAAAGCTAAGGGCAGGGGGAAAAGCCAGCAAATAAAAGGCTTAGGATTTTTCCACCGAGTTTCACATTCAAACAGCAAAGCGTTACACCTAGTCTCTAAAGAACTCTGAACCGCGCCAGGAGCCGGACGGTAGCCGGCTTTCCTTGTCCGAGGAGACAGCGCACTCAGACTAACGATGTCAAGCTTCAAGGTCAGAAGCCCACAGCCCTAAGCCACAGCTTCATCAACTCTAATGCCATCTCCAGGACCGAAAAGGCAGTTTTGCAGGTTTCTTCCTCCATTTTTCACTGCATGTGGACTATAAAAAAAGAAGAATGATACTCTGCCAAAGCACGCGAGAGATGAGCGAGAACAGAAACCCCAATATCCAGGAAATTTTTGATGTGTGTTTCAGAGCAATACCAAGTACCTTTTTGCTGCTGCTGCAGTTTCCGCTTGACACGCAAGAAGAACTTCTGAGGGGATTCCCACACAAGAAGGTCTGTGGGTAGTGCTTTCGTGGTTCGGTTATCAGGAATTCGAGTGCAAAATGATTCTGGAAAAGAAGAATACAATCAAATCTTTGAATTTGGGGAAGAAAAACATCTTCATGTGGGGAGCAGGGGAAACGAAGAATGTACTTTGTAAGCTACTAAGCTCCACTAGACAACGATACGTTTTCTTTCCCAAGATGGATGGGCAATGGGAGCTTTCCCTTCTCATCAGGGGGTTGGCTGCTGTGCTGCCTCTGCCTCGGGTGAGAATCACCCTCAGGTGTGCGTAACCTGTCTGGATGTAACCCAACCCACAGGAACTTGGAGGTGCCTACAAACGGGAGGTGTTTTATAGTAACAAGGTCCAACAAGTAGTACCAATGCTGACCCCTTTTGATAGCGGGGGTTGCCCTGACCCATGTGCAGGACCTTGCACTTGGCCTTGTTGAACCTCATGAGGTTCACACAGGCCCATCTCTCGAACTTGTCCAGGTCCCTCTGGATGGCATCCCGTCCTTCTGGCATGTCAGCTGCACCACTCAGTTTGGTGGTGTCTTCTGCAAACTTGCTGAGGGTTCACTCAATCTCACCGAGTCACTGATGAAGATATTAATCAGTACTGGGCCCAGCACGGACCCCCGAGGGACACCAGTTGTCACCAATCTCCCCTTGGATGTTGAGCCATTGACCACTACCCTCTGGCTACAACCAGCCACCCGATTCCCCATCCACTGGACAGTCCCCCCCCTAAATGTTGTGAGGGACTGTGTTGAGAGCTTTACAGAAGTCCAGGTAGATCACATCCGTAGCTCTTCCCTTGTCCACTGACGCAGTCACGCCATCATAGAAAGCCACTAGGTTGGTCAGGCAGGACTTGCCCTTGGTGAAGCCACGCTGGCTGTCTCGGATCACCTCCCTGTCCTCCGTGTGCCTCAGCACAGCTTCTAGGAGGAGCTGCTCCATGATCTTCCCAGGCACAGAGCTGAGGCCGGCAGGTCGGTAGTGCCCAGGGTCCTCCTTTCTACCCTTTGTAAAAACGGGTGCAATGTTTCCCTTCTTCCAATCACCTTAATAATGGTTTAATCTCATTTTTATTGTCTCCAACAGAAATACTAAGAGAAACAAGTGGTTTTATGTTGTAGCAAGGAGATTCAGGAAGACTTTTCCACATCTAACCATAAACCAAAGACACTACAACCTCCGTCACTGCAGTTCTTTCGAGAACAGTTTGATGCCCCCCAGTGAAAACAGCATGCAGCAGCCCACGGTACTGGCCAGGTGAGACAAACTGAGTACTTAGCCTAGTTTTCTGCAATTCTGTCTTCATATGAACACAGACAAAGCAGGTAGGTCTTAACCCCCTTCCAAAACTGGATGAAAGGTTAGTATGGGAGATTTCTAAGTGGTGTACTTGGGACAGGAATGCAGGTAGCGATGAAGCATAACCCTTCTGACAAACCAGCCAGTATCTCAGTGGGTGTCCCGCTCTGGGAGATCATAGCAGGAGAGTAACGGGGCATCACTGTAGGACTTCTTCCTCCTCCGAGTATCCCTGTTACCCTTATGGATGCACGGGAGCCAGAAGCAAGGCCGTTCCCACTCGCCTACCGCAGCTCAGTGCCTTCAGGGCACGGCGCCTGCGAGCTCACACTGCGCCAAGCAGTCAGAAACAGCAGATCCGCTGGGAAAGCCATCAGACCAGGCTGCCCAGGGAAACGCCCCAGCACCCCGGAACCCAACCAATTCTCCCAGCAGCCTTGCTCTTTTCAGTAGTGACTGCAGGGGGGAGTTAAACTCACTGGTTGTTTTGATTTTTTTCAACTTATAAAGTGTAATCCTTTGTCTGTCAAGGGGTTGCAAAAGCTCAATCCCATTCACAAACAGAAGAGAGGAAGCGGTTAAAGCCACACTGAGCAAGAAAGGGAGAGGACACCGTGAGAGGGATTCCTCTAACATACATTAAGACAAATCACTTACGGTACAGATACATTTCAGCATTAAAAAACCCTTCCATCCAAACTTAAAACCCAAATACTTGGGGGAAAACCTGTACCAATATTTTTCACATCCCGAGTGCACACGGGAAGTGTTTCCAGCCCCGGCAGAGCGGCGAGCAGAGGGCAGACCCCAGCTGGTCTTCCCGCAGCAGCCCCCCAACCCACAGAGTCACAGAATGTTCAGGGTTGGCAGGGCCCTCTGTGGGTCCCCCAGCCCAACCCCCTGCCCAAGCAGGGTCACCCAGAGCAGGTTGCACAGCACCACGGCCAGGCGGGGCTGGAATATCTCCAGAGAAGGAGACTCCACAACCTCCCTGGGCAGCCTGGGCCAGGGCTCCGTCACCCTCAGAGGGAAGAAGTTCTTCCTCGGGTTCAGCTGGAGCTTCCTCTGCTTCAGTTTGTGCCCGTTGCCCCTTGTCCTGTCGCTGGGCACCACTAAACAGAGTCTGGCCCCGTCCTCCTGACCCCCACCCTGCAGATATTTAGAGGCATTTCTAAGGGCCCCTCTCAGCCTTCTCTTCTCCAGGCTGAACAAGCCCAGCTCCCTCAGCCTCTCCTCGCAGGAGAGATGCTC